TTATAATATATTTGTGTATATATATATATATGGCTGTGTGTGTGTGTGTGTGTGTGTGTGTGTGTGTGTGTGTGTGTGTGTACGTATATACGTATATATATATAATGAGCTCATTTAGGTCAATTAAAAGCTAGAAAATGATTCCAACAGAAAAATGGCTAAATGTGGTCGCTAAGAGGAGAAAAAACATAAAAATGAGCTTAACAGTTTTAAAAGATGCTTCACCACACATCTAGTAAAAAAAGAAATGCAAACTAAAACCATCACGAGATAAGGCTTTTTACCAATTGAAATAAAAATGATCAAAAAGTAGGATGATACATCCTGTTGATGAGGACGTTGGGAAATCTGAGCTCTCAAACACCATTGACGGGAATATAAACTGGTACGGCCTCTTTGGAGTGAAATTTAACAATAGCTAATAAAATAAAATCTGCGCACATCCTCGGGGCCAGTGGTGCCACTTCCAGGAATTACTTTTCGAGCTGTTCTTACACAAGGGAACGAAGATGCGAGGCCAGACCCTGTCATTCCGGCACCATGTGCAGCCTCAGAGATGGGAAGCATCCTCGGGTTCGGTCCACGGGGGGACTTGTGTAGAGCTTGGACCCCGGAGCCCCGCTGAGCTGGAACTAGGCTCCCGTCCGCTCCCCTCACGTCTCTGGTTCAGGGCTCGCCAGGAGAAAGGTGCGGCCGAGCGTGGCGGAGGCGCGGCGCTTCCTGAGTTAGAAGGTGGATGACGGCAGGTACGTTTGCATCTCACATGCATGCCGCTCGCTAACGTGTGGGCGTCACTGCAGCCAGGTGTGCGGCCCCTAATGCGTCTTCCCTGGCAGGGCCCCTGCCTCCTGGCCAGGTGTGAGTTCAGCTCCACGGTCAAGGGCTCCAGCTTATCCGGCACGCCCCTGAATGCTCAAGAATAGAGGTGTTTTCGCTTTATCCTCATGGCTTCCACTTTGTCCCTGGCCCCCTTCCTGCCACCTTCTGTCCAACAGCCGCCCCTGCTGACTTCATATCAAGCACCATCTGGAGAACCCACAGGCTGCTTCAGCGGCCCCCAGACAGCCCGAGGTCTAGTTCTTCTATATCGACATTAACAAAACTCATGAGGATGACATGAGCATCCAACACAACGAGGTGGATCTGTGGGTGAACGCGAAGCAGTGTCCAAGATAATATTAAGTGAAAAGAATGAGGTTCAGAAGAGTCTATGTGGTTTGCTACTTTTTAGGTTTAAAATAAAGTACGGAAATGCACACACGTGTACTCCTCACTAGTCTGGACAAACACGTGGATGTCCTGGACCACCGGCGGAGGGCAGATGAAAAAGTAGCAACGGTCCTCTGGGGAAAAGATAGGGCAGTGACAGACAGGGTGACATTCCATTGTGTATCTTTTGTCCTGTGTGATTTTTTTTCCCCCATGAACTTGCATTAATTTTTTAAAGAATAATGACATTTAAGAAATGAAATAACGCACAGAAATGTCACTGCATAATTCTCCTGAGCATAAGCGGCTCTCGGGGAATGTCCTTACACTCCTCGGGCGTGGCTGTCCCACGCTTCTTTCTCCCGTGACACAGGACGATGCCGTGAGCTGTGCATAGGGAACGGGAGACGAGCAGATGTTCGTTTACGTTAGTCACTCTGAGAGCCAGCGTCACAGCAAAGAATAAGGACATTGCCGCTCCTGAGTTTAGCTGTCGGAGCAGAAAGAAAAGAGATATTCGATAGCTTGCCCTTGACCAAAGAAAGAAAGAACGGGGTGATCTCAAAATTTCGCAAAGGTGCAGGGTGGAGGGACATGCGCCTCATCGCGGCCAGCTTTCTTTATTTCGCTCTGGTTTCCCTGCGAAATTTTGAATTTCATGTAATGCAATAAAATATCGTACGCTGAATCCTGTTGTATTTATAGCTACGAAGTTTAAGAACGATATCGGTATGTGTACGTGCGTTGTGTGTGTGTGCATGTGTGTGAGTGTGTGTGTGGGTGTGTGTGCCCTGAGCCTTAGGAATACATTCCTTTTTATTTATAAAACTCAAAAGTGGTCCCTCTGAAGTCACAGTGAGGAGGATATGCAATCCGGTTTAACACGCACGGGCAAAAAATACCTACGGCAGATTATAAATTCTGTGAGATATGCGCACACGAATATAACATACTCTGGTAAAAATATAAGTTAAAAAACTCGTTGCCTTGAACAGGGCATATTTTTGGCTAACTGGTTGTAAGAATAAAAGCCGTATATTACGGGCCGTGGCAAAGAAAACTGAAAGTCCTACTTACAGCGTGGGAAACTCGTCCGTTCTTTTCACATCACTTCCTCTGAGTGGTTCCCATGAGATTTCAGCAACGCGTACCCGAGAACCAGCCCCCTCCTTCCTCCTCTGCAATGCCTCACCTTAGGAAGGGTGGGGATGGGGGATAGCTATGCATGCAGGGAAGTGACGGGACCTGCAGAGGGAAGGATGGAGGTAAGAGTGGGAAGGTCTCCCACAAGGCGGACCAACCGTTAGCACAATGAGCAGGGACCACAAAGGCCACTGCGCTGAGCTCCTACCTGCTTTCGAGGCTTGCGCTTCCGCCTGGTTTTGACCCCCAGCCCTATGGGAAAGCAAAGTGAATACCAGAAGTGTCACGTTTCAGAAGGGAAGCAAAACCTTTTTATTTAGTTAGTTTTTATTTTTTTAAATAAATTTATGTATTTAAATTAGTTTCTAGTACACAGTACATTGGTTAGACATCTATATAGTTCATAATATGATGCCCCCAATTGCTCCCTCCCTCCCCTGGCCCTCCACCCAGCCATCATATTAATGCTGACTGCTTTCCCTCTGCCGTGCTCCCCATCCCTGTGACCAACTATCAATGACTAATTTGTACTTCTTTAACCCTTGACCCCATTTTCCTGGCCTCCCAAATCCACCCCACTCTGTCCGCCACCAAATTGTCCACTATATTTGTGAGTCTGTTTTCGATGAGTTTGTTCTTTTTGACAGGTAGGATGGACTCAGCATACACGCCAAGCATATCCACAGGCATTGCAACGATTGCTAACTTAAAACGGGTGAAGCACACACACATCACTGCAAATATAATTGTCATCCCTTTTAGGCTAGTGTGGGGTTTCCATGCTGATGAGTTTTCGCAATCAGCCATCAAGCTTTCTAGGGGGAGTTTTCCTTTATTAAATATCAGTTGGTCAGAAAGCATTTGAGAAAAGGAGAAAACGCATTTGTGAGTAGGCAGCGTTTGCCTGCTGTGATGCGTAGTTATCGTTCATCACTCATAAGCATCGCAATCATTATTATTTCCAGGCATTTATAGACCACCTTTCCTCCCCAATCAGCTTATAAATGGTTTCGCAAATGCATTAGAAACAGCATAGATATGGATCACTTCACACAGCTCCAAAGCACAGTCACCTCAAGGGGAATCGCGGGAAGTTCTATATAAATCAGGATAACGTTAAGCCAAGTTAAGGCCAACCGTGAAGAATGGCTTATTTGCCTGAAGCCACAGGGAATATTAGGTAAGCAAAGGACACTTCCCTCCCCCGGTTCCAAGGTCAATGCGGCCTCACCGTTGAGGGCCGAGGTTAATGGCTCTGGATTCTGGGCGGCGGGTGGGGCTGCCGAGCCATCATGCGCAGGTTTTTATCTCCTGGAGGGAGACTCACCAGGTCCGGGCGGGGGCTCCCAGTGTCTGGGATGCCCGGGACTAGGGGCCCTGAGCTCAGATGACGCAACCAATGACCTCCCGAGGCTCACAAACCCGTCAGGACCAGGCGGCCTGCTCTTCGGCATCACAATGGTTGGCATTTTCCTGCAGGATCCCAAAACACGAGCCGCTCTGGTGTGTGCAGAACCTGCCACGCTCGTAGTCTGCAGGTGGCCGCACACGGCGCCCACAGCAGAACCTGTAGAACACTGGGCTTCTTAACGATCGCCCCCCAGATGTGGGGAGGTGCCATGTTGAGCCCCCCCCCGTTCTCCGTGAGGACCCTCGGAAAGAGCTGACTGTCCCTGCTCGTCCGTCTTTGTGGGGACAGAGAATCAGTCCAGTTTACCTGTTTATGGTATCGGAAGTGGACTTCCTCAGGGCGGTGATGGGAGACTCCAGGAGGTGCTTGGTGTTTACCATATTTAGATGTAGCAGACCTCACAGCCTGTCTGTAACGATAGCACGGTATCCCTCCCTCGCCTGGGGGGGCTGCGTTCCCAGCCCTCCAGTGGACGGCTGAAACCCTATTATATTATGCTTTTTATCCTGTACTTACAGACGCATGATAAAATTTAATTTATAAATTAGGCACAATCAGAGGTTAACAGCAATAACTAATAACATAATAGAACAATTATAATGATATACTGCAATGAAAGTAACGAGAATGGCTCTGGGGCCATTATTCAGTAAAATCGGGGTGCCCGGGACACAAGCTCTGAGATGCCCGGCAGTCGATCTGACAACTGGGATGGGGGCATACGCGGTGAGGACAAATGGGGGACAAACCAGGGACTCACGTCCGGGCGGGATGGAGCGGGCTGGTGCCATGTTCCGTCATGTTACTCAGAGTGGTATACAATTTAAACTTTATGAATTTTCCACAATTTTCCATTTAATATTTTCAGACCACGATTGACTTCAGTTAACTGAAACTCAAGAAAGCAAGACCCCAGGTAGGGCGGTGGCTGTCATGGGTGATGGCTGACACACACCCAGACAAAGGCTGTTTTACAAACTATGCTGGAAGCTCCAAAGGTCCCTAGGTTCCCACTCAGCCACTGGTGACAGGTGGCTCGGTGCTTGTCCGATGCAACGTGCGTGGACCTTTGCTGGCACGCCGGTTCTGACTCTGCCCGTCTAGGGAGAATCTGAGAGGGCCTGGGGTTCTGCATGCGTAACAACGCCAAGCTGCTGCCCGCCACTGGGTGGCCAAAAGTGGGTTATCTGCACCCGTCGAACCCCCAGTCTGAAGGACGTTTCCCAGCCAGTGCCTCCCCGGGTCCGAGTCAGCTGTGAGCAGAGCACAGCTGCTCCCCGCGAGCTCCCTCACTGCACCCCACCCCACCCCTGGCTCGGGGACCGCACAGGTGAAAGAAAGGTTTTCACCTGTGAAATCTCCGAGGACAAAGGCGGGGGCAGCAGGTGGCCAGAGCTGTCTCCACTGTGCTGCATTCGCCATTGGCCGTTTGGCCTGGCTCCACACACAATGCAAACTTAGAATTTGTTGTTAGACCCCAAAGCCTATCCTCCCGATATTAGGGACAAGTAAGAAGTAAAAGCGAGGTAGCGGGGAGCCCTGGGCCTCCACGCTGGGAAGGCGCACGCTGGGCTGGGCCAGCGTCCTGGGCAGGGGGTCTGCGCACCTGCAGACTGCACGCGGTGACCCCGGACTCGTGAGGAGGAGGACGGGGACGCGGGAAGGAAAGGGCCACTGGTCCATGCGAGGCACGGGAGTATTCGGCTTGGGCCCAGGAAGCCAGTGCTGGCTTTCCCTGCGGAGGGCGCGCGAAGTACCAGCAACCAGCTTGTGTTTCAAAAGCACAGGAAAAGTCACGGAAGCAGCCACAGGCCAGGACTGCTCAGGAGCCCCAGGAAGGCTGGCGGTCGCTTGTTTCACCGTTTACTGACAGTTCACGATGGCTTGACCCTAGCCTGTCGCCTTCGAGGGAAGAAAGCTACGTTGGAATCTGCTCCAGGCAGTTTCAGCAAAGGTCAAGGTCAAGTTACACAGGTGAGGGAGGGGGAGTCTCAGGGAGCACCCCAGAAATGCGCTGGCCTGGCAGAGACATCTGGGCACAGCCTGGGGAAGTGGGTGACAGCGATTAATCTTTTTGTTCGTTTCATATCGTTTCCGTATCTTCCGGGTGTGAGATGCTGTGCTCAGCGCTGAGGGAGAGAAAGACGTGAGCGGCCACGTGACTTTCCTCGACCCCAAAACAGTTACAAATGACAAAACAGGAGCTCACATGCCATGTTCGCTTTGTGCCGGGCACTGCACTAAAAGCTCTGTGTGCATTGTCCAAAGACTCATGTAAAAGACACAGATTCTTCCTGGGATCATTAACTGGTCAGGGCCCGTAATGAAATCTCCCGAGAGGATATTTCTTCAGGAATCTGAGACGGTGGGGGCAGCACAGGCCTCCCACACAGGCCTACACGAGATTTCCAAACAGACTCGGTGTTTCCAGAACATTCTCTCAAGAAGATTTACCTCTCAGTTCCCCTCAGATGGTGTTGACTGGACGTCTCCCACTTACCTCTTTCCAAGAAAGTTTGTAGGCATTTCCCCTTACTTGACAGTTCTGCGAACTCTTGAGAGTGGAGACCGCGTGCTTCATGAAGTGTTAAATCAAATTTGTTTGTATCACCCACATTGTCTTCTTTAATCATTTTAATATGAAGAGGTGGAATTGCCAAAACCGTTTCGTAACTTGCATTTTTTATAAGGTCTGTGGATCTTGAGAGGTTAGGACATTTTCCTCTCCAGAAAAACGCCTGTGTATTCAAGCATGTGTGTGAGGAAAGAGGCCAGCTCTTAAAAATGGAATCCAGAAATAATACCTAAAATTAGTTTTCTCTGATGCTGCAGCTTTGGGGTAGAACTCATTATAATCTCCTTCCTAGGCTGCTGTCCCATCACAGGGACCTTTTATTGATGCGCGTGCCACCAAAAACAGTCAGAGAATGTCTTGTTTACTGCCTCAGAAGCTCCTGGCGCTACCTGCGTCCCAGAACTCAAAGAGAGAACCAAACAGCCATGTAGTTTATGTGTCAGAATAAAATTAGCCTCAATTATTTTCTTAATGGGGAGCAAATGGGGAAGGAAAAGCTGTCTCCTGCTGGAGCAAAGTGTGGAGCAAGAAGCAACCTTTCTTCCACAGTTCGCTTTGCTTAAATCCGAAGTTGTTTTGTCATAGCCCAAGGAATCCCAGAGGAATTCTGTGGTTTTTGCAGCAAATACCATTTGCATTTGCTCATTGAGTCATGCTCCAAGTTTCCCGCAGGAAAGCTTTGGAAAGGTCCCCCCATGGTGCAGAAGCTAATGATGGCGCTCCCCGCGAGTCTGCTCGGAAAATGTCCCCCATACAGTGACTTGCAAAAGCTCACAGCCCAGCTCTGGAAAAGTCTCAGATGTCATCATTAGCATTTTCCTATGAAGAAGAGGTGCATTTCGGTGATGAATATTCCAGATCCTTGATTTCAGTATGCAAAATACAATGTAGTCATGGGAAAATACGTACTGACATAACCGGAATTTAAGGAGGAAATACAACATTTTTCTAGAGTAAGAACGGCTTTGGGACTCAGGTCTTCTGTTTATGTTTTGGTGAAACGGCACGATGCAATAGGGAGGGGATTTTCTGCTAGAATCGTTGTGTCCTTACAAGTCATCTGGCCTCTCTCAACCTCTGGAACTTCATCTGTAAAATGGGGATAATAACATTTATGATGTCTTCTTCTCTGAGATGATTACATGAGATACAAAAATAAGAGTTTCTTAAACAGCGTGGTCTCAGAGGAAGTTCCCTTTGCTCTCCACTCCTGGACCTCTCCATAATCTTTTTTTTTTTTTTTTTAAATTCTAAAAAAACAGGAAGGTGGGACAGAAAAATAAAGCAACATGACC